TTTGTGTTACTATTTGTGCTGCTGCTGCTGTTGCCCGTTATTGTTGCTACTGTTGCTGGACTTTTGTCACGCACAAGAAGGCGGTTGTGGGTTAAGCCAACTTCGAACTGACCACGTGACCATCAAAACACAAACAAACTCACACACACTCACCGGGTTGCACGAACAACGACGAAGACACTGGGGCACTTGCAAATACTTAGTTGCTGGCTTTAATGTATGCCCCAAACGAGAGCAGGGCAATTAAATCGCCTAAAAGGAGCCAAAGTGGAGCGTTTTGTGTGTGCAACATGACTTTCGTTCGTATATATTTATTCCTCGAAATAGAAAACAAAGCACGCAAGGCTATTTATGCAGTTTTTGCACCACCCCGCATCGAAATCGGTACTGGAATATTCTAATTAGCTCTTATTGATTTCGATAATTGGTGGTCCTTTTTGGCGGTACGAGATTTGCATATATCTATGCGCGACACTACGAACCCGAACCCGATAACTTCGCTAATTCGATGGCTGCCGCGGCGAGCGTCAGCATCCCTGCAAACACGTTCGAAACAGTCCGACGGCTGAGCTTCAACTGAACTCGAATGGCCAACTCAGGGCCCCACAGGCCCCACAGTCCCCCCACCGGAGGTCGGCGGCCCGAAGCCCTATAACTCGGCTGCCGAGCCCACGACGACCCCGTTCCGAGCGACAGGATAAGAGCCGAGCGCCGCGAAGGATAACCCGAGCGGAAGCCCACGAGCATCCGCAAAAGTACAGCTGAATTAAGAGAAGGCGGATACCAGTCTCAGCTCTCTGAGCTAACAAGTTAGTAAAAATTATCAAATATATCCAAAATTTAATACGACTTTTGTCCAAAATAAGTAATGGTAAAAAATATAAGAAATCTAGGTGGCTAAATATTATAAATTAATTAGTTGAAATATGATGTTATAATTTTTAAAAATAAAATCATTTTTTAAAATGTTATAATCCATAACATGAAAATTAATATTGATCTGTTTTGGGAATACAAACAAATTCGGGAGTTTAATATGTATTATGTGTGTAGGTTTTATAAAACCTTTTCCATTTTCAATTAACAGAACACGTTAACTCTTTTAAAATTTACATTACATTGAACATATTTAAAAAACGATTTTTTTTAAAGATTTATCTGTTTATGCTTTTCACGTATAATAATGTATCCTACAAATTTTTATTAGCTAATCAGTTTTCGTTTCTTAAATAAGCCAAAATCTCTGCATTTGTACAAAAGATTTCCATCTCTTAAGTTTATTTGTATTATTAACCTTATCCCTTTCATTTCCTTTATCATATGCTTTTAACATGATCAGCAATCGGGAGAATTAAGAATTAGTTTAGAAATCAGAGTTCGCTGAATTTGAAGCAAAAAGAGAAAAACGTATTTGGTCAGCAAAAAACGATTTCTCTTAAGTCTATAGGTTGTGAATTTTCTCTTACAACGAATGTCTTATACTTACCACTTTGGTATAAATGTGGTTAAGGTCTTGACTTAGTGGAGGTTCAAGCCCCTGTAAAAACCATTTGTAAGTCTGGACCCAAGCCATGTTTTAAAATTTTCAGAACTTAAATGTATTAAATTATTATTTTAGCTTTATAAAAGTGTCAGAACAGAGAAGGAAGAAGGGATAATAGAAAAAATAGAAGAAGAAAAGGGAGAGTAAGTCGCAAAGTGGAAAAAAAATCAACGAAATATTTGCCTATTCAAAATAGGACCCAAGAATACCAACTTGAAATCTCGAAAGATGCCTAATTAATCGATACCCAAATAAGTTCTTCATATAGTTCTAGCTCCATGTCCGTTTCACATTCCCCCACTTTACATAAAAATCAATCATGAAAGGAAACAAATATTTAAAAGTTCGTTTAATGAAAAGAAAAAATCTTCAATTTAAGTTGGACCAGACTATTTTGTCCGTTTTTTTTTTGTTGAAGACGAAGCTTTGAAGAACTAGTATGGAAATTGATAACTATAATTTTTAAACGGTATTAAAAACACAGATCGTTAGAAATTTTCATTATTACTTATACAAATATTTTAAAAAGTCTATAAAATTAAAGTTATGTTTGATATATTGTACCTAAAATGGTACTTCGAGATACTTTTCTGTGCAGTGAGTAACTACAAACTTAAAGTCAAGCTAAACTCGATTTCTCTGCACCTCTGTCTATTGAACCATTCCCTCCCCCACCAATTACAGAGCAAACCCAATCAAAGCTACGGACTGTCAGCTAATTAACTCCAGATTTAACCCATCCCAGAGGAGTCCTCAGCTCAATCGGTCCGCCCACTTTTATCAACCTTCGTCCTGCCCCCAGCTGCAATCACTCAAAGTAAAAATTGCCATCCAGCTCCGCACAAACTCATACAAGACGCGTAAAAAATGGCAAGCGAGAAAAGCAGACGGGAAATGAAACCCGAAAATGAATTGCAGCAAAATGCTCAAACACACTCTACGAAATTGACTTAAATAAATAAATGGCATAAAAACAAAGACAAAACACATGCACACAGCGCAAAACAGCAAGAAAGTGAATCGAGAAGCGGAGGACAACGGCGTGTCATAGAAACAAAGTGCATCCCCAGGAGGAAAATTGGGTGGTGGATCGGGGGGGTTTTTCCAGCTTGTTGCAACATTTTCATTTCATTTTATTCAGTTCAGTCAATGCAAGGCAACATTCGAATGCAACAACTGCAAAAGTGCAGCAAAGACAACGCTTAGTAGCTCATCCATTTTCATTTGTATTAAGCAAAAGGCAAAGGACGTGGCCAAGTTGCCTAGGAATCCCTATCTCTGCCCCCGCGTAAAATAAAAGCGTTGGCATTACTCAGCAAATACTTGTTTGCTTGCTGTCTTGACAAAAAGTCTATAGAAACCCCCCTCGGAGAAAGCCCCCGGGAAAACCCCCCTGGAAAAACCCCCTGCATTCCACCACACTTTCCCCGGGGCTGCTCGTTAGCACAGCTGCCAAGAGAATTTATCTTACTCCCACGAATGCAACTCGATTTTATTTTATTTGTGCCCTCATTGTTTCTGTTTGGCATATTGGACGTATTGTTAGCCCCACAATGATCGATGCAAATTGATGCGTATTGTTAATGGAATTTTCCTCCATGCGTTGAGCAGTATATGGAAAAGTATGCAACACAAATTGGGCGGAAAACAAAAGAAAGTCAGGAATGGGAAATGTCACAGTATGTCACGGAAATCTCTTAGAATTTTTAGATTGCAATAGTTAGTTTTCAGACAGGAATAGTGGGTCAAGGTCAAGGTTTTGGTTCATAGGCATTACCAACTTATATAACCTAATTGTAGGTACTCTGCATTTTTTAAAAATAAATATTTTACTAGTGTCTTGCTTTAACTTCTGATTATGAGCATTCCACGGGTTACCTTGTGATTTTAACAGATTAAACAGATTTATATTGCTATCTATATTTAACCAACCGAACCTCCCTTTGACCTTTCTCACTTTACGTTCCCAAAAAGAAATCTGAAAAAATACCCTAAAGATGCCAAAAAGGTAGAGGAAAAAATGTCATAAATATGAACGTTTGCAATTTGTTTATATTAAAATTGAGAGTCAAAAAGCATCCCAAGGTGGGGGGTTGGGCGGTGTTCTTGTATCCTGTGCCCAGATTCCCATTGCATTTGGCTCTGCCAACTGCTCCGCTCCTCTGCTCCTCCGCTGGTTCAGTATCGCCTGCTGTTTTGTGAATTATGCGCCTTCCGTTGCATGCGGCGGCATTTCCCAGCCCGAGCCCAAGAGCAGGCTAGTGCACTGAGAAAAATTACAAATAATATAAAAGTATTGTAAAAAAAATCTTAACATGCATTATAGATAATACAAAAAGGACGGCTTTGTGTAAGGCAAACTTGTTAGAATATTTTTTACTATATTATAAACTTAATTTGGTGGACCTCATCAGTGGTCACCAAATGAAAACGAGCAAACATTCCCATGTTAAAGGTCTGTTTGTATAGGTAATTTGCTCGGCAAAAATTGGCGATGTGAGAGTGTCGCCTGCTTTATTTTACTGCACGTGTGGCGGCAGGACTGCGGCAGGGAACGTTTGTATCCCTTGGATAGCTCGCGCTGCTTCTGCTGATGACCACTGGCCTACATTTATAGGTATAATAGAAGTAAGATATGAGACCAGATCATAATTTTTAAATATTTAATATTTATTTAAATGTAATAATATTATATAACCAACTGAATGTTATTGCCGTATCATATATCAGATTGGATGGAAACTTTTTACTGCATCTAAAATCCTTCTTGTGAATGTTTTGCAAATTTTATTCTTTCTGCCACATAATTCTCAAATTTTTCTCATCGTCTAGTACTTATTTCTCCCTGTGCAGCTGTAGCTATTGCTGTTTCCAAGGCCCAAGTCCAAATAATGGCTTGACGCGCCTGGCTGCATATTTTTAAAGTCAGCGTAGATGCAGAATGTGTGAGCCAGCGAGGAAGGGGGGATCGAGTTGGGGGGATGCCGGTCCGCCCACAACTAACTGCGCTCGTTTTTGTAATAAAAATGTCATAAATCTTGATTCCTTGAACTCTAAACCGAAAAGCGTGCGATAGCGACACAGGAACAGCACAGCACAGAACAGGACATCGCTGCGTCCTTCTCGCTTGCTCGCGCTTCGAGAAGTGCCACTGGGTGGGCAATATAACTGTCTATTTATGCTCGCCTTGCATATGAAGTACATTTTATTTGTTTTTATTTATTTGCACCCGCTTGCAATGCTTTGTTATGCCCACTCTGCAGAGCAAGTATCTCTGCCGAGATAATTGATTTATTTGACTAGTCTAAGTGAGCATAAAATCTTGTTAAGCAGGCTAGGAAATGCACACCAAGAAAGTGGATTTAACCTATTAAAGTCTTGGAAAATATAGTAAAATCGGGTTTGATATTCCTGAATTCTCTGAAAATACCACAACCCAAAAATAATAAAACTTCACTGCCTTTTAGGTCATCGTATTTTTTTCCAATCTTATCGCTTTAAAACATTGTCAAGCTTACACATTAAACTTAAGCGGATTTTACACATTTTTTTCAACTTATTCGTTATAGACACTGGCATTGAATTCATATTACAAATAATAAATTACTCATTAAACATAAACATCTGATTTTCTTCGTCCTTTTATAGTGTTTGTCTGTTTTTGTGTGCGTGTGTGGCAGGATTTCTTATCACAAGTAAACATCACTAAAAACACGTTTAAACCTAAATTTGATTCGTCATTCATTATTATAAGGTTAGCTTAACATTTAAAATAATTTAATTAAAGTTATAGTTAAGTTTAACATCGTTTTCGTTATTCGTTTAATCAAGGTAAAAATATGTGATCTTGTCAATTATTAAATATTTTCCATCCTATTTTGTGTTGAATTGGTTTTAAGTTAAGAAATTATCACAAATGGTTTTGTTTTCATGTTTTGCTTTAAAATTATTTCCAATTAGTCAAGATTTAATTTAGCCCAATAAAAATGGTAGATTTTTATGGTTTGTCCAATGGCAATCACCAGTGATCCATATCACGAATTCGCTCCACTGGGGGATTACTGTAAGAAAGAAAGTTATTTGTATTAATATTAATAGTATATTTGTTTGAGAGTAGGATAACATTTCGACCCTCTTTAAATGGAGAACAATTATTGCAGAGTATAAGAAAATGAACCCACAAGTTCATAGAGGTATCCCACTTCAAAATCGGGTTACAATAACTCAAGTTATGGAATCTGGAAGTGCAGTTTTGGGTTCCTATTATGAAAGCCATTGGAATTACGGAAAAATCGAACATGAAAATGGGTTAAATTTTGGACCCTCATTAAACCGATAAATTTAAATGCAGAATTTTAGGGAATTAACCCACAAGTTAATAGAGGTATCCCACTTTAAAATCGGGATCCTATAACTCAAGTTATGGAACTTTGAAGTGCAGTTTTGGGTTCCCATTATGAAAGCCCTTGGAATTACGGAAAAATCGAACATGAAAATGGGTTAAATTTTGGACCCTCATTAAAGCGATAAATTTAAATGCAGAATTTTAGGGAATTAACCCACAAGTTCATAGAGGTATCCCACTTTAAAATCGGGATCCTATAACTCAAGTTATGGAATCTGAAAGTGCAGTTTTGGGTTCCCATTATGAAAGCCATTGGAATTACGGAAAAATCGAACATGAAATTAGGCTAAAATGTCGACCCTCTTTTAATAGAAAACATTTATTGTATACTATTAGAGAATTAACTCACAAGTTCATAGAGGTATCCCACTTTAAAATCGGGATCATATAACTCATGTTATGGAACTTTGAAGTGCAGTTTTGGGTTCCCATTATGAAAGCCATTGGAATTACGGAAAAATCTAACATGAAAATGGGTTAAATTTTGGACCCTCATTAAACCGATAAATTTAAATGTAGAATATTAGAGAATTAACCCAAAAGTTCATAAAGGTATTCCACTTTAAAATCGGGATCCTGTACCTCAAGTTATGGAATCTGGAAGTTCAGTTTTGGGTTCCCATTCTAAAAGCTAATGGAAATACCGAAAATCGAAACTAGGACTCGCAATAATTTCTGTGCTCTCATGTTCTGTTTTTGTTTTTAAGGTATTAGACAAGTTTATAGGTTTGTTGGTAATAATGAAAACGTGATTTTATGTATAATTGGGAACTTACGGTAACATTCGCGACAAAGCATGCTTGTGCAGCGGGGAGATTTGCACGGTCGCCGAGGCGATGCTGGATCCCGAGTCCTGCGACATGGTGCGCTGCATGTGGTGCATGGGATGCTGCTGCACCACCGGTCCGCCCACAAACTGCAACTGCTGCTGGTGGTGGTGCTGATGCTGATGATGTTGCTGCAACGGGTGCTGGTGCAGCGGATGCGAGTGCTGTGTCTGCGAAATTTGCTGCGACCTTCGGAAGGGATAGCGCCAAGGACTCTTCGGAGCATCCGACTGGAATCCCTTGTTCTCCACTCCCCCACTGCTCGACACTCCAGCGGGACTATCACGACGCGGGGCCATGCCAGGTTGCAAGTCCCGAGCCTTGGAGCTGAGGCGCCGCAGGATGCGGGAACCCAATCCTGGTGGATCCTCCAGGCTGCGACTGTTGCGCGGCTTGCGATACCGCACATCACTGGACTCCTCCAGGATCACATGGCGATCGTATGGGGTGCCGTAGTACACCTCCAGCACCGTGGAGAAGGTGTGCGGCCACACCAGGTCGATTATGGAGATCAGAACACCCGCAATGAAGCAGAGAATACCTGAAATGTAAGACGGATATTTAAAGAAATGATGGCTTTTTGAGATCTCGTATTATTGGTATTTTCTTTGAATAAAATATTACTAGGTAGAATGTATATCAATTCATAACTCAAACTTCGTCTACTCAAAAATTGATATATATAATTTAACTTGAAGTCTTTATAGCTCGAACTTTATGATCAGTATTTATTTTTTTATAGACTTTACTTAGAAATAAATAATATTAGATCCATAAAAATATTTTAAATAATATTGATTCACCTATAAGTACAACTTTCTTTGAAGAGACTTTTCAGAAAAACTTTATATAACTTTATATGTCACTTCATGCCAATATGTTTTCATTAAACAAACTCTATTATCTTAAATGGATTTATTTTATAGCCATTTCCTCACCTGCCACCAAAACAAGCCAGTAGCACCAGCCGAAGTGGAACTCCAGGCGCCCGCCCTCGAGGTAAATACACAAAGGTCGCTTCGGAAGTAGGCAATGATAGCCCACCGTGGTGCAGACCAGAAGGGCTCCGGTCAGGGCCTTCATATAGGCCCCGTATCGGGGAACGGCTATCAGCAGCAGGTTCATCAGGAGCCACGAGGCCAGCGAGGCCCAGAGCATAATGCTCGCAAAGTATCCGGCGGCCCGGTACTGGCCACCCCACGAGAATCCCTCGCGGCCCAAACTGAAGTACTCGGCCACGGTCAAAATGGGAAAGGGCAGTCCCCGCTGGAGGGCGTGGCGGTAGTTGGCGCTCATGTCGTTGGCCCCCTCCCAGGTGAAGCGCTCATTGTAGTCAATGTCCGGTGGGGTCCAGTTGCCAATGGGAATCGCTGTAGGTACATTAAATAAAATTATAAAATAACTTAATATCATAAGCCAAAAATTTAAAACCATAACTTGTATATTGGAAAGAAGGTCTAAATCAAAATGTAACCAAAATTGTATAACAAAGTACCCCAAAAACTATTTTTTCATACGGAAATACCAAAGAAATACTAGATTTAAAAAGGTATTTTTCAAGCAAATATTAAATCAACTGTTTTACTATTTTTGTATTGTTGTTTTTAAATTATATTTAAGTTTATGATTAAGGCTGATCAATTTATTCTTGCTTGATAAAATACGATTCAAATTATGGTATTTTCCTACGCAAATCCCTTATCCAATATATATTTTTTTAAATTTTGAATACATTAAATTTCGCATTTTCTTTGTCTGTAAAACAAATTTTACAGCCATAAGTCACCCAAAAGTCATTCTCCCAAAAGCACTCAGACATGCTCACTTGACGACCACTAGGCGATGTAAACGTGTCTGTAGTCAAGTCAGGCCTTAGCCATTTGACAGCCAGAACCTTTTTTTCGCAATCTGACAAATGCCAACTGGCAACACCTTCGAATTACACTCGATCAAATAACCTTCACTGCAATTACGGGCAAAAAAAACTGGCAGAAAATAGCAAAAATCAAACGATCATTTCCTGTTGCAGGCGGAAATGTTTTGGTTGCAGTTGCGCCTAGGCTCGCTCCACACTGCGTATGCGTAATATGTTGATTTCCAAGCCGCTCCTCTCACTCGGCTGGCAATTCATTGTCAATGGCTTAAACGCGCTAACCTTACACAAGCGGCAAGACTCAAGTGAGCGGCTTAAAATGTGCAACAAATCGCATAATAAATGTGCAGCAAGTACCTACACTTTTTCTTCGATTTTGTGTCTGTTTGCATATTTTATTAAGATTCGTCAAAACATTTTCCGGTTTACAGCGCACGCGCTTTTGGCCCGTTTTGCATTTTGTTTATTTATTTTGCCCACTCCTCGGGCAAGTTTAAAAGAGAGTGAGCGAGGAAAAAACGCTCAACAAATAGACAAAACCATTTGCATAATTTATAGACAACTTTGCACACCTCTCGAGCGGCCAAACAACTTAACCATATGATTCCGCATTGGTTAATTCCGTTAAAAAAAATACAACATGCTAAAGTTTGCCAATAGATGTAGAATTATATGACGCATGTGGATATTAGAAACAAAACTTTGACTAATCGACATTTGCATGGAAATTTTTGTGAATGGAAGAGAAACTCAAATGTGGTTTCCTTTCCAAAAATCTATAAAACAATAAAAGGAACACAATGCTAATTAGAGTTTCTGCCCACTATAATCGGCAATATTGTCGACTTTAAATTCTAAAAGCTTTTAAACATTTATGCAAACAATATCATTAATCTTCTATTTTCGCTTTGCTTTGAACAGCTAAAAGGGGTCTTCATCGCAAGAAATTAAAAATGATATATGATTTGTAAGGCATGGAAGTGATCACGTTGCCACAGTGTCTGGCACCGAGTGACAAAATATGCAAATAAACTTAAAATCGAAAAATAAATAAAATCTCACAAAGCGGGGTAAAAAGCTGCTAAGGAATTTTTAATTAAAAGCTTAAGAATTAATCTTTGAAAATCAATAAAAGCAAAGACAAAAATGTTGTTATAAAAAGACAGCAACATGGCTAGCAGAATAAAGCGTTCAAATTAAGGAAAAAACAAACAAGATTATATAGTGCCTATCAACAAAATAACTGATTTATGAGCAGAGTTACAAAAGCTTAAGGTCAACTAATGATATATGAATAAATATATGGTTTAAATGGATATTATAATAATTTGGGGCTGTAAGTTAACATTCTCGTTTTGTTACCAAATTTCCAAGCCCTTCCCCTTTTTTGTAATTTTCATGAGCGCGTCCACGATGGGATGTGGGGGATAGATCTCCCCACTCGGCTTAAAACTACAACTAAAATATATATTTTATTCAAATTTTTAATTTCTACTCAACAATATTTTTATATCCCCCACAACCAAATCCCGTATCCGTCACTGGTAATTTTCTTGTAGATATTTTTATCTGTGTGTCTATAAATGCCATAAATAGATTATGTATACAAATATTCCCACGCTCCATACTATTATAAGGCTTTACCCAACCGAATGACTCATAAGAGATACGTAAGCCGGCAAGCGGTCCAAATTTATGCCCAAAATTGGCTACCTACAGTCGAAGTAAGCTTACAAATTACAAACTCAGCGCCACGGAAAAAATGTAAATAAATTACATAAATCGTCAAAAGTTGTCATATAATATATGCTTTGGGGCTCGGCCTTCGACTCGGGACAAGGTTTTGGCCTGGCCTCCGGTTTCCAACCCCCCTCATCGCGATTAAAACTGCACCGAAAATGGCAACCCCGACCTAAGCCAAGTCCACGAGTCCACATAGTCTATAAGTCTACGCACCGTCTACGCATTTTGTGGATCGATGTTGGATGGCGGAGTCATTAAACTGACGATCGTTATGATTTCCCAGTTGGTGGTGACCGGACTGACTTGTTTCTCCTCGGGTCTCGTGAACGTGGAAATGCTGCGAGTTGAACCGGTTCAATTCACTTTGACCATTTGAAATGGTAATTGCTGAGCTCTTTTGATTTAAACGTGGTTTATGGCTGCAGTGATACAGATCTAACAAAGGTGGAAGTAAGAGTTGGCTGCTTTACAAAACAACAAGCAATAAAATGCTAGATTGGGTAAGGGGCTAATAAAATATTTGCAATCACTGGTGCACCCTAGATGAATTAGTTTTGGGGCAATCGGGAAATAAATAAGGAAATTAACTAATTCTAGCCATTAAAAGAGTTTTTTTCCTTACCTTAACTAATTTAATAGCTTTAAATAACTACTATTAAATAACTAATAAAATTAATTTAAGTATTCCCTTAAGCATTTTTTAACAATACTAATTTTTTTTAATTGTTATTAATCTTATTTAATGGGCTTAAAGTCCAAACAATAATTCAGAAAACTTTTTTCCGGATTCCACATTTTTCTTTTCCATAACCAAGTATCATTGGGTACATTTTTACAATTTGATAGTTATTCTAACTACTAATGAATATTCTATAAATTATTTACCCTCAAAAGTTTTGGTTAATGTGATTTTTTAAAAATTTTTTTACTCTTATTTTTTGAAGTTTTATTAATGATTTGGAAAATCTGTTCAAGCAAAAATCCACATTATTTAATGGTAATTCGCTGTATCATTAAACCACTTGGTTCATTAGCAACTTACAATGCCCCATTGTTGTTAGCGCCCAGAACGAAAATAAACTTCCGCAAACTTCAAACTTCTTCCACAGAGCCAAAAGTTGTTGTATTGAAAATAAAGCGTTAAAACAACAATAACAACATTAAAAAAATTACCATATCTACGTATACCAAATTGATGTTTCCCTACGTGATACTTGAGACGGATGACGATGATGTTGGGTAGCTCGCGCTTAAGTACGGGCATCCGCAGCAGCCGCAACAAAAAAGGTAAATACATTTAAGCATTTTTATGCCTTTTCATAATTTTAAGAGATGATTATGCTGATTTTCGTGTTTACTTTTGCAGGGAGAGAAGGTGGGAAGTGTGGTGTTGATGGGGCTAAAAACAATTTGGCAGCAGTAGCGGCTGGCGAAGAGAAAAAACCTAAATTAATCATGACTTTACAATAGACAAAGGCACACGACACACGAAAACCCACAGCAAAGAGACAATGAATGAGCTGAACTGCTGCTTTTTTCCTAAATTGTTTACTCCTCAGACCACATATGTCTGCAAAAATAAATGAATGTTCCATTTCTGTCATTTTTGTAGACTGAACAACGCTAGAGGCAGTACTCCATGTCCATCTTCATTAAGAAAAAACAAAAAATATGTATAAAAAGATGTTCACGAATTAATTATTTAATAAATAGAATGGACGCAGGTTTCGAATTTAGTAATTTGAGAGCATAATTGGTAGTGACATATGAAAAAATTGGTATGTAGGTTAAAAACCTCTACTTTTTTGCACAATAAAATATGAATAGGAATATCCTATTCTGTTCACACATTTCAAATTAGCTGCAAATGATTAAGAGCATTGTTAATAGTAATAACGCCAATCACAGTTATATGCAACACCTGGTACCCTTAATTCACAACCACTTCAAATGATTTCTAAGCCCGCAAACAAGTTGGCTAAACGCCGCTGTTAATTGAGCTTACAGCACACACCCACAATAGATATAAATTATGAATACATAGACATATATCAATAAAATACCACGTAACCTATTCAAAAAAAATGAATAAATGCCAGACCGCAATGAGAAAAAAATGCAACACAAATGGAAGTGCCCAAAAGTCATAATGACACATAATTAAGTGCACAAAAGTCACCGCAGATTGGCCCAAAAAGTACACAAAAAGAAGGCTTTAACGAAAAGTAAGTAATCATCATTATAAAAAGATCATCATGATTGGACTGAATAAACCATCGGCACTCAAGTTTTGACACCCGAATTTGACATTTGTCTGACTTTGATTTGGCAATGGAAAATGCTTCAGATCACAATTGAAAAACCACATGAAAAGTAACTTTAGACCATACTCAATAGGAGTGCAACAATTAAGTTGTCAGGCCAAGACTAAGCCGTATATATCCGATCCAACTACCACTCACCAATTGACATGCGCAATTATCATATTCAAAATCGAAATTCATACCAGGAAAAAGCGTACGGCAAGCAAGAAATACTCGTAGAGCAGCAGCTGTCAACTTGAGGCAACATTTGCCCTTTTACCATCAAATACCAACGCCCACCTTATATGGTGGGTCTATATATACACCCGACCAACAGCCAACAACAATGGAGTATGAAAACACGTGAAACACTTTTGGCAAACGTCATTCACTGCGCTTTCGAAGGGTTGTGTTGGCTGGGAAAATGCTACCGAAATAACACTCACGATTTTGGGGAAAGGGGCAGATACTCCACAAATCTGTATTAGTCAAAACCAATATGGCAACCGACATAATACCCACAGCCAACAGTTGAAGAGGCAACAGGGCAAATATATATTAATGCATACACATATGTGTACTTCGAAGAGTGTCTGTACACAGCTCTGTAAGTGTTCTACACTAAGAAAAATAGGGCCATCTTATGGGATATTCATTTTTAAGAAATTTTGAGTCCGTGATCTTATAAATTCAAAATATGGACCTGAAATGTATTACTAAAGTAAAGCGATTTAAGTTAAAATTTTTAATTTAACTTTTTAATGTTTCTATACTAATATATTTTTTTTAAGGTTTCTTTTTTTAGAGTTTCTATAGTAATATATTTTTATGAGGGCTCGATACTTTATATTTTATAATCCCATTTTTCCAGATGATAAAATGCAATTCATTCAAAATGGGTGTTCAATTTCCATTGTTGCAAAAATTGCAATTGCATATAAAAGTAAGATACTCAAAAATAATCAATATTACAAGTTTTGAATTTATTTATTTATAAATTATAGTCTAATTCGAAATCAAAAAACCCTAAATAAGAAACTAAAATCCCCAGATATCATATCAAAGACCAAACATTTTATAAATCCAATTAGCCTACTGCCAAAGCCACTTGCTCTCCAAACATTTAGATTTCAATGCACAAATCGGTTGCCCTCGAAGGGCAACATAAACTTTAATCTCCCAATATGGCAAACAAAAAATTATTGCGACTGGGCCAAACAATTCCAACTTGGCTTGTGACCGAATTTTGTTTGGTAAGTGGGGGGCGAGAGGATAAGATGGGATGGGATTTGATAGGATTGGATGGTTCGCTCGGATTATTCGTGCTCGAGTTGACTTGAAACTGGCATTCCAATTGATTCAGCTGGGGTCTAGGGTAGCCCGGCTCAAACACAAAAGCATTTCACCTTTTCGATGAGCCCAAGTAGTGAGTAGTGAGTGAAACGAGCAAACAATCAAACAAGCCGGCGAATATATGTTTGGCTAGATATATGCACATATATACATGTGTGTATAGAGGCCTCCTCGTGGAACATTTGCTGGTGGAATCGAATATTTCCGCAGGTGTCGAGCTGAGCGCGAGTCGAGTGGCATTTCAATTTGTTGTTGCCATTGTTGCCGCTGCCGTTGCTGTTGCTTTTGGCCACTATTGTTGCCAAGAATCGTGACATGCAACTTGACTTGGCACTTGGCAGGAGCCAACAAACAAAGCGGCAGCAACAACCGCAGCTGACGTCACCGCCCACACTGCGTTTTGATTTTGATAGTCAAACAAAAGCGAACGGCATCGAAAATTATCGCCAAAAGATCCAAGCCAAAGTTTTGAAATCAATTAGCCAGTAGCTCAAGTCGAGCCCTAAAATGCAAGTGCTACCAAAAATCGCAGAGATTTTAATTAAATTTTATTTATACATGCAGCAATTTTTTCGTATTAAAATCTTAAATGAAAATTGCTCAATTGTTTACGTTGACGTTCGTTTTTTATCTCCCATCGGGCTTTGCCTCGAAAAACGGGGGCGTGCACGACACTGCCTTTAAAAAATAAGAAATCAACATAAAAAACTTTGACAATCGAGTATTATTTTGCTTAACGAATTTAAAACTCTGTTGGACATGCATAAACATATGAAAAAAATCAACACAAAGACTATTCAATCAATGATTCAGAGAAAGGCTGGGAAAAAATGTATTGATGGGCAGCGAATAAATGAAAAATATTTATAACAAATACTTGAAAGACTTCAAATATTTGAAAAATATTTTAATGATATATAATAAATTAATAAGAAAGTCTTGTTAAAAAATGAGAGAATATTTAAGTGTCATTAGTTTATACTTTAGATGTGCCAATTTAATTATTAATTTGTTTATAAGTAATATCATACGGTCAAAAACAAAATAGAGTAATTACATTTTTAGTAACAAATTATGTTATTTTATAAATACAAAAATAAGGGATTAGATAATCTTCAAACTTTTTTATTACATTATTGGCTAAATTTTTTAGGATTCTGAGATATAAGATTCTGGTTGTATTTACACTCTATAAGGTTGGAAAAGCCTTCTAGTATTAAATCTATTCTTTGTTGTATATTTTTAAGAACTTTAGGTATTTAAGCGATCATAAAATGTCAAGAAAATATATATATTTCCCATTCTTAAACTTAAAATCCTTCACTACCGCACCGGTGACGCCGATATAATCAAAGATGACAACCCATTCACCCATGGCAGAAGTGCCTACTTGTTGGCGGATTGGATGGGATTGGATCGTATTGGCTTCGATGGGCTGGGGTCGGGACTGAGATTGGGATTGGATTGGATTGGCAAACTTACCCGTCAGCGTCACATTGACATGCATGAGGCCAATGTGGGTGCCGATGCGCGCTGGGAGCTTCTCGCGTGAGAAGGCTTTGTACGGCGCGATGATGGTTGCATGTGCCACATGCCACGCGGAGCCCAGCCGGGTGACTGTTGGATAAAGACGTGAGACGTTAACGTTTCCCAGGTTGGATGCAAATCAACTATAACGTTGTGCTAATTGAAGGTCACTCTACTCACTTAGTATGACTAGGCCCACGAAAAGGCTCAGTGTGACGGTCGAAAATGTTGTAAACTTCTGTGAACGAGAAGATATTAGAAGTAAATTTAAATTAAAGCTAAATAAATGCCAAGCAAATAACATTCAATGTTTGCAGTGCTCTAATAAAGTCAACCAGTCAATAGAGACCAATGGACGAGGAAAAAAAGGGCGCGCCCATTTAAAACGGGTTAGCTTACGGGTCTCTCATTAGACGCTTATATGTACATTGCCATAAGATTTATCTGACTTCTGTTGGAAACGTGCCGACGATTACGGCGATGCCGAGCAGTTGGCACAATTCAATTAAAAAGTCCAGCTGGCAACAGCGTGAGAAAATTCATTCCAGTCTGACTAGCGTTTGATACAGTAATAAATACACAATAACTTTGCATATAGTAAAATGCACATATTCAATTGAACCGACGACCTTTTTCGACATTTATGAGCTATATTTTACAACAAATTAATATAGAATTTGACTATTAAAATAGAATCTATGAAAATTGAGCACTAAAGCTCTTCAAATAAATTGTTATTTATTTTTAAAACTCTTTTTTAACTTTGTATCGGAATAAAATTAGGCGAAAAAACATAAAACAAATTAATAATAGAAAAAAATACGGAACGTTTGATTTCGAATTTTAAAATATTTTCTTGTTAGAAACATGTCTTAAATTATTCACACTAAACTAGAATTTTACGAAATAAGTTGAATCTTTGACAGTTGAGAGCATAAGCTACTTAAACTTAAAATCATTTTTTAACATTGCTATTATGTTTTATCTATTATATATCTAATATTACATGAAACTAAAAAAATCGTTTAAAAATTAAAAGATATATATACATGGATGGATTTTGCTATAATATTATTTTACAAAGTTTTCCTTAATTACCTACAATAAATCTATTTTAGAATCCAACCACTCACCTGTTTTCTCACACCCGGAAATATGACTAAAAATGCCACATAGAATGTGGCAAATAGTACCGAGACGGCTACTATGGAGACATCTCCGGTGACGGGAGTTCGATTTGAGAAGGAATATAGCGTTGGTCCCCCATCGTCTCGAAACGCGTCGAACCAGCCTTTCATGCTGGTCGCTGTTGCTGATGTCGGGGCTTGGGATCTATTAAAGCAAAAAAAACAAAAAAATATAAAAAATAAGACATCATATAATATTGCTGCAAAAAACGCCGAAATTAATATGATGGATATATTTTGCAAGAGCACTCAATTAAAAAGATTTGCATTGCAAAATCATGCGAAACTCGGCGCAACTGATCTCATCGCATCTTGCAGATACCATGTATCCGCAATTCGTGACTAAGCTTTTAGGTAGCAGATACATCGACTTCAAGTGACAGGCAGCTCAATGCAAAATTGGTTTGGTAAACAGAAAAAATATGCAAATATTTTTTTAAGTGCATGGGCAGTGTTTAACGATGAGTACCCGGAAATGTAAAATTCAAAATAGCCAAGTAATCTACACGAGATACGTTCTTCTAGAAAACTGAAACAAAGGAACTTAATTTGGTCGCTCTACAAAATTTTGTTTGAAGCTCAAAAAGCTAACAAACCAGAAACGAGACCTAGAACCGGATCCAAAGGCAAACAAATTAACAATAAAATGCTACGTCGAAATCTTAAGATGCCATGTGGGGGGCTTGAACAATTAAGAGACCGAAACAGCAACTGAAACCGGCGAGAAACCATCATCAGCTTCGACTGCTGACTTCTGCTTCTGAAGCAATGACGTAGGCAAAAGTTATAATTAAGTGTCGATAAAATTGAATGACTTTAACACAATGGCAACACGATCATGGCTATCTTGTAAATACCCTAGCAGGAGGTGATCTTAAAATGCTAATGACAGTCTTATAGAGTGACTCAAGACACAAGCGTCACGAATATGTAGATGCAAGTCAGTTAATCTTCCAGGTAAAATTATTTTATTTAGTTTCAATTTAAGGTATTTAGATATTGTATTATTTAACTTTTTGAAAATAATTTTTTTTAATATTTTCAGATTACCTATGTAATCTCTCATTTTAAAAATATAATTGGGTGTATCCTCTTATCTCCTGACTAATCCCGGTATTACCCGAGTCGTTATCATGTATGTATCATCATATTCGTTAAATGATCACCAGTGGTTTTAGGCATTATAGTACCCTCATTATACCCCTTGATTGAAGGAGTATGGGAATTGCGCATACGCAACGTGTTACGTGCATCGGCACGCGGATGTAAGTTTCTACCACAGACATTGAGCTCACCCTCTAGACACTTTAGCTGGGTTTTCCCACTCAGTATGAGTTCTGGGTTGTGAAAGTTGAGAGGCCCGAGGGCAAACGAGATTGGGGAACAAGAAAAGAATCATACAAAGATCGCTGCCTCTGGGCTATGAAGTTGGCCAGTTCCGCAATGATTTTATTGTTCCTATTTTTAAATTCGTTTGCTAAACCATTATTTCTTCATTAGCTGGCGTTTATTGCGGCTACAAATCATCCAACATTGGTTTTATCGTTCAGTCTCATTCATCAAGTCTTAAAGTTCACTTACCAAACTTGTCAAGAAGAAACCGGCATACAAAATAATTGTTATTAACTTTTCGTGTTCACTTTGTTGAATTTTTGTTATTTATTTTATGTAATCCAATTTTGATGTCCAATTTATAGCTTCGAGTTAGCCGTTAAGCCAAATCTAAACAATCAAGAAATTTGCATTTATGATTAATGAATAAAATAATGAAGCCAGGCACAAATTTTACACACAGATCGATTAAGCCCGTTGAAATATTTGGCTGAAAAATATTCTTGTTTTCACAGTTGCGAACACGTATTTAATAATTTGACTTTAAACGATTTGATTTATTATAAATATATTTTTTAAGTTATTGTGGATATTGCTGTGTTCTTGTTTTATATGATTTTTGTTATATTCAATGCTTTGTTTGATTTGTATATAATTTTTTATAATTTGATTTTAAACGGTTTGTTTTATAATAAATATATTTTTCAAGTTGTTAAACCTTGTTTGTTGTATTTTATGCCATGTTTAATTTGTTTAAAATAAAATGTTTGATTACATTCACTTATTTAATTTAGTTGTTTTATTAAATTGGGGCCTTTATGTTGATACAGGATTATTTTTTTAGAGCACATAGTTAAAAATACTGAATAAATAAAATATAAAAGTATTTTTTTTTAAATATACTTTTCTTTTAGTAAAATCTCTCAAACAACAAATTTGTGAATTAAATAGGATTTTCATGATCTACTTTGATTTACTTAGCCCTTTCTAAGAAAATATTTTTTCTTCATTACTTTATTATTATATTTTATATATATTTTAGACTCAACCCTGGCACTGAATAATTTCGTTTTTTAATAAAATGGCATTTGTTGTAAAATTTCTTAATGTTTAAAAATATTTGCAGCAATTCTTTGGACGACATAAAAATGTTTTCCTAGCAGTTGCAATTTGCTGTTGCCGACTGGCCAGTTGCACCCCCATTGAGTCGATGGTTCTGCTTTTTTGCTGCTGCTGCTGGCAGTCAACCGGTTTAACTAGTCAAGTCCGCCGCCGCCAGACTTTGCACATAAATTGCATTTTATTTTTAAAAACCCGGTAATAAATTGTTTCATTTATAATTAGAATTTTTCGCCAAGCTGACAGCCCGTAAAATACAAGTCAGCGCATTTGGAATAGGTGCGAATACTATATGGTGTTATAGCATTTGAAAATCGATTTGGGGGAGTTCTCGACTTCTCGCCTTTGTTATGTGTTCGATACTGCTGGTTGACCTTCGCATATTTTTCGGACAGGAATTTGTAAGTCGCTATGATTCGCGTCGGTTTATTAGCTCAATTGCCTGCAAAAGCAATAAACGTCGACGTCGCCGATGGACTTGGCACCAAAACGTAAGGCGCGACGCATTGCATGTGGAAATCTCCAAGCACATTACGTTATTACGTTATAAGCGCAAGACAAAAGCGACAGCCAACAACAATCGGACAATGGGAAAAACAGACATTACTGTTACAAAACGAAACGGAAAATATGCGGCGAAGCAGCACACAAAAGGTGCCGGCGCACTTTGGAAATGGTATTGGGATCTGGTACCACAAATATTGCAGAATAGGTGCGTTTTATGATATTCCTTTTTAGTAAATAATTTGAGAAAATGAATTAAATTATAAATTATTTAATTAAAATTATTTCATTTTTATTTTCGTTTACATTTACGTTGTATTACTATTAATATAATAGGTAGGCTTGAATTCTTTAGATCCTTAATATATAGCCCTCGCTTGAGCAATAATCCCACCCTAAAAAAGTCAATAATATTTATTAGAAAAATGTAGTTTGTGATTAAATCCTCACTATTACCGTCTGTGAAATAACTTTCTTCTTTTATAACAGTTTGTCTTCTTATTTCACATTTTAAAAATTTCACCTGGGTGTCGTATGAGTAATATTAAGTACCTAACATTTTCATATGAAAAAAAAAATTTTTTTTTCGTCAAATTTCTAAAACTAGTTTAACAGTAAAATCTTGTTATTTATGCAAAATTTAGGAACTATATTTTCACGAACTAGAACAAGCAATAAATTAATTTCGTGGCCCACTGTGCAGCAACGCCCCACAAAGCAAGTGACGCAGCAGCAGAGCAGCATCCAAGTACCGTATGCACCCCACTTGCTGTGCGTACTCTCACTCTCACTCGCTCTCTTTTCCAGCCCCATTCTCTCTCCCTCTTGCTCCACTATTCCCCCACTCTCTCACTCTCTGGCAAACAAGACTGCAGCTTTTATTTTCAAGTCCAACGAAAGTGAAATTACTGCCGCTCCCCTTTCCAGTCACTATCGCGCTCGCTCTTTCTCCCCGACTCCCCCTTTTTCGCTTACACCTTTACCGGTGTGTTGAGGAAATGAAGCAAACATGAAATTGACATAATCAACACGCAGCTGGAAACTCTGCAAATGTCTTTTGACGAGACAGAGACGGCAAGAGAGCCACCAAGAGCTACAACAACAGGTTTCTGTGTCGCCTTGTTGCTTTTGCTTTCATTGGTCTTGTTGTATTGAAATGCACAGAGAGAAAAGCCTAACGACTTAAGATACAAATATTTATTGAGGGAGCTTTTAATATATCACGTTATAAGAGATCGGTATATTCCAACTATATATTTTACAACTTTATTATAACCGAAAAGTTAAAAAAGTTTATGATCCATTGACTGATTTCTTATGTTTCACTTTAGAAAAGATTAGTATACTTCAAACATATAGTTTCAAACTTTATAACTACAAATCTAAGTTACAAGATTGCTTGTATTTATATAAAAACTTTAAAAAATTCATTTTATAGAGGTGGTGTTTGAACCCTATTTTATATAACTATCGAACCTGTGAACAGCTTTCATTCTAAAATTTGTTTTAAATAAAATCTTGATAATAAAATTATCCAAATAGATTTTAAGCTAACTTTTTTCCTGTATAAGATTTTGTTGTTGCTGCAGGCGGCGTGTGTTCAATGAGCGCTGGTGCGTGTAAATATGTAAGAGTTGCCTTCAACCGGCTTTTTCGTGCAATTTTTTTCTTCTTTTTTCTGTTAGCTGTAGTTTGTGTTTTTATTTTTGCGCTGGTCAGTTTGACGTTGAATCATCTGGCCATATAGGAAATGAAACGCCAGATGAAGTAATCCCAGCTGCCTGACATGGAAATTACAGAGTCAAAACGCATCTCCTAAAATCAACCTGATGCACACACATACAAATTCCACGACAAGCAAAAGGGCAGGCAGAAAAGCACATGCGAGGGGAAATGGGGAGAGGATATCGAAATTTATATACCCTATAGGTGACCTGTAACCTTTTCAATCACAGCTCAAATACATAGTTGCATGATAATATTCACAAATCTTTTTCTAAATCAACAATAAAAAATAATCCTGTGTATCTTTAAAATTAAAGATAATATAATCATATTAACAAATTGATATATACATATATTTTATTTTAACTTGTTAATGCTAATCAAGAATGTAAATATTTATTTTCAAGATTAGCAAATGTCTAATTTACTGCTTTTCAAACTGATAACGTAATTGAATATACCTTCTGTAAGGGTATTAAAAACAGGGTGTTGAGCAAGCACAAAGGGAAAAATGTGCATTAGAAATTACCAACACGATTTTCCCGCCACCACCCACACACACACGCTCCCGCACACACACACTTTTATGTAATGGCGGCTCTCTTCAGAAGTTTTGAGAGTTCTTTTTGTGCTTCATTAATTTTTATTTTTGGATTTCGGTTTATTTTAAGTTTTGGCAACCATTTTGATGGATCTCTGACACTTATGGTTGGCAAAGAAAATAAATTATTTATGATCCCATTGTTCGGCATTCTATTTTTGCTTTCATGAGTGGTCAGAATTTATAATTTATTTTTTGCTTCTTCTTGACTTTTGTTGGTTATTTTCCACAAAGGCCTCTAAAATTCCATTGTTGTTATATTTAATATTTTTATCACAATGTTATTTGATTTATATTTTATTGGTTATATATTTTTTCATCAAAAAATGATGGAGAAACTTTTATTTGCATTGCCTGAGAGAAACTTATTTATTTTAATTATTTGCAAGGTTTAATGCACTGAATATTTCGCACTTTGCCTGGCCAAATATTAAATTGCAACATTTAATAGCAGCCAAGTTGATTTACATTTTTATGTTTATGGCCGAAATTTGCTGGCTTTAATTATATTTTATGTGCCCACTTTGCTTGTTTTATACTTTATTATAATTATTTATGCAGGCATAAATACAAATAACTAGATGAGCTTCAAACTTTATACCGTTACTCGCGATATTATTTTCTTTTTGTTTTGGCCAACTTATTTTGGGCTGAATTTTCGATTTTTCTCCACTTTTACGAGCACGGGCGTTTTGTGCATGGCATAACACACACACCAAACAAAAGCAAACAAATAAAAACACAATTCGATTTCGTCTTCGCTGCTCGTCCGATGTTTTTTTTGCTGCTTTAAATTGCGCATGCGCGGCGGCTACTCACGTCCGTTTCGAATGCTCGCTGTTTGCTGTTTGATTCGCTGGCCGAAAAAGCGACGTAAGCAACCGTAAGTGATCGCCGGAGAGCGCTGAGAGCCCGCCAAAACCTCCCCAAAACCGAGAAAAGAGAGCGCCGGAGAGCCAAAGCTCCCAGACGGTGGGAGCTTTTTACTCGACCGCTAATTGCAGGCTTAAGTGAGTGTGAATTTATGAAGCAGTCAAGTCGCAAAGTCAGCAATTCAGAAAATCTGAAAATCCGACAGGGAACTGGAGCTACTACTATACCAGGGCTATTCCTGATCTGGGACCTTGTCGACTCTAGGCTGCCACACTTTCGAAGCGAAAAGCAAACTGGTTCATCTTGGGCCTGGCCTCACACTATATTAACAATCGAGCTACAAATTATTACCTTTAATCAGCGGGGCGTAAGTAGCAAAGCACCTGTCACGTGGGGAAAAAATTTGCACAGCTGCGCTCAACATAATGTTCGCAATATCATTACTATTTGGAAAGAAACAAATAATACAAAAATTTATAGTTTAGGTATAAATTAGTATTAAATTTTCTTTATAGAACACCCTTAAAAAACCTGACTTCAAAAATGTTAATATTTTTAGAATGTTAAAAGTAAAAAAATATATAACTATTATAAATAATACTTATTTTTAATAACGTAATATAAAAATATATTTTGAGTTTGTAAATTTATTTTTAAACTGAAAACCCAGTGATGATCATGAATTTAATTTTCAATGTTATCTATAAAAACAATAAACTAAACGCAAGTCTTTTTTTCATTTACACCAAATAAAAAAAACCATGAGCATTGTTCATAGGTATCTATCCCATTTGAATTAATTTTTTTTATATTTTAAACATAAGTATATAAAAATACCTATAATTTAGTACACCTACACTAAAAAATTTAAATATACCATATTTTTAGACTTACCTAAAGTTAGATCATTTTCAGTCTTATTTAACGGATTGCTTAAGAATCTTTTAAACAAATATAAGTTGCTAAAAATTATTTAATATTTAGTATGATAACAAAAATGTAAATCCACAATCCGCAATATCCCACTTCTCAAACCCCCACAGCCATATTATTATTTAAAATTATTTGCAGCTGAGCAGCTGCTGATACTGCTAATCGAATTAGCATGGAGACCCGGCTGGTAATTAATATTTAATTTGCTAATTGAATTTTTACTAGCGACTACCGTGCCACGCACCAACGCCAGGCCAAATCACCAAGTTAGCCTCCGTGATCTCTGTTTATGTCCAGTCAATCCATTCCGGCGGCGATCTCATCTCGGGGATCTTGACAGTTGCAAATTTGGCTGGTCAACACTAAAACCACTTCTCTTCTCAGCTGCACTATGCTAAAATCCGCAGTCGATGGATGTGAATTTTTTATGATGTGTCAAATTAGCCATAAAACACACATGCACAGAAGAGCAAATATTGATTGTAAGTTTAGTAGTAAAAGAAACGTTATAGCATACTTAGAACCCTATTAAATCTATTTAATAAAACTACTCAAAAAATAAGATTAGAGGATTAGAAAATTTTAAATTAATAAAAATTCAGTAATACTATGTTAAAAGATTTTGAATTTTTATTACTTTTATGGTTTAAAGGTCTGGAAATCTTGTTAATTAATAAAATATTTATTTGTTCCATTTTAATCACCTTAGTATCGAATAAACTTCCGCTTTGCCACCCAATGATTCAATGCTATCGTAAAATAACTTGGGGGCAAATCGACTCTTTCAACAGTTCTCACAACAAATTCGGTCGCCAGCTTACTCACCTCAAGTTCGTCGCCAAAGTCTTTTGTTCTAGCGGCATTTATATGCAAACCCCTCACCTTGGCGGGCGATAAAAACCAGAAAAATCTGAAAAACATACCCAACAGCATCCCGGACCAGTGTTTAGCCGACCACTGACCACGAGTTAAATTAACGAAAATTCGCCAAGCAAGGTCAGTTGAAAACGGTCAACGACTGCAGGTGCTCGGGAATCGAATGGACAACATGAAATGCCCTTTTGCGAACAGCGAAAATTCTCGTTCGCGCTGATTTGTTAATGGCAAGCGGTTAATAAAAATTATGCAGCAATAAAAGCGATGAAAAAAAAATTAAAATTAATCACTTGACAAAAGAAGGGAGCTGCTGAGCTACGCAAAAAGCAGCTACCGTTTAAAAATTCATTGCTCACCCAAAGCAAAAATAAGAGATACGGATGTATCTTAAAATCGAAGTTGGAATGCCTAGATCGAGGACGGTCGTTGGTCCCTGGGCCAAAGAATATCCAAGCCAAAAAACTACAAGTGAAGTACGTGTCCCATATCAGGAATGCAAACCACGCGGCGGTCACTTTCGGTTGGCTTTATTTTTAATGGCCGTTTTTGGAACTCGACTGCTCGACTGACTCAGTTTCTGCGAAACCTCCGCTAAAAGCATTCATAACTCAACTGCCAGCTGTCAGCGGCAGAAAAACGCCGGCGGTTTATAAACCCCGAAAAGGGAAAGGGCAGTGTAATGGAAAATTATACTACATTCATACTTATAATGGAAATGAAGCGCGTTGCTGATGCTTTCGTACCTACTTTGCAATCGCCCCAAGTTCAAGGTCGCCGGATTTCGCTGCTCAGGGCGATGAGAGTGCATTAAATGTGATGCGATGGAGATTGTTGTCTGCCGATGGAATGGTAATTGTAGTATGATTATAATGGAGGACCCCATGAATGCGATGGCAAATGAGCGGATAGCTTTGGTTTAATTATTCACAAGATTTGTGGGACCTGTGAATAAGCCAAGATTATTAAAACGTGCTTAAAATATTAGAGATGTATTATTATAAAAGAGCTTAACATTTTTTACAAAAACTGGTTTTGTTTTCAACATATGTATATATTAAATGTTGTCAAAATTATTTTTAAATATTTTTTTAAAGCACTCTAAAAAGATTAAAACATTAAAAATAATTTGCAGAAATTCTCTGGACTTAAATTGCCTATTTTAGATTTCTTTACAAATAATCTATAAATATTTATTCACAAGTATTGTAATTTAAGTTTATAATTTTGAATTTTAAGTTTAAATGAGAATATATTTTTTAGGAAACCCTCACTTGATATTTAAATTATTAAATGATTTGAAGTTATTCAACGCCATTTATAAAAAAACTTATATTTTCCCCAAACACTTAGTTGGAACCACAAATTCCCATTCACTTTCATGCCCCAAAAGGTTTTCCCATGTAAAACCCACTATGCGTCACTGAAATTAACTTAAACCCAAATAAGGAAGTAATCAACTCGAATGTCAATTACAATTACAAACGCACTCGGAGTAATAAATTAATCGCGTTGCGCATACGCCATGTAAGCCGGCCAGTCTCCGAAATTCAATTCAGTCGATTCACTCGCCTTGATTTCAACCCGACAAACTATAAACAAGCGTGAGCGACAAAAAAAGATACATACGTTACGCACAAATTAAATTCGTGAAGTTCAAAATCAGAAATTCCAGCAAAAACAGTGGCTAACAAATTACGCGGCTTGCATACCGCCTTTCAGCCCCCGAATTCCCCTTTTTTTGGTTTATTATTTTTTGTTTGTGTACCACTCGCAATCAGGAAGGTCAAGTGCACGCGCCAAATGTGTTTTATACTGTTTTTTACATTAGTCTCGGCATTTTGTTTAATTAATTTTTAATATAATTTTTTTCAGTAGCTTGTATTTTTTGTTTGACGAGCGCGTTGATGATGTGACAGGCGGCACACACAACTTGGGTGGTTCTGGAGGCTAATTGTGGCAGTTGATGGAAAGGCGTACTTTTGAGACCTTGATGGAGTTGCCAAGTAAAAGATTTGGATGTGTTTAATAATGGTGGGTTATTATTATTTTCGGGTTTCTTATGACGTTGGTTAAGCTTTAATTTTTAATTGTGGTATTAGATTAGTAGTAATTATATTATTATGTTTTATTATGTTTTTTTTATTATAATATTTATTAAAGGACAACATCTATGTTTCAAATAAGTGAAATGCTATAAGTTGTAAAATCAATTATATTTATTTATTATGTTTAGGTATCTAAGGTATATTTATATTTATTTGTTATTGTAGATATTTAAAATGTAATTATAAACTTTAACATAAAATTTGCTTAATAAAATTGTTTGTCTGCTTGATTTTTAAATCATTACCTTAACTTTTTGTAGATTTCTTTAACGATTCGATTTTGCCATATTTATTGACCTTGTTGCGATACCCTTGCTACTAGTTCACAGAACCTCAATAAAATAATTACATAGCACCCATTGACCGCCACACTCTTTGTTATCGAATGTTTAAAATCGAATTTAATTACTTCCACCCACTAACAACTTCCGAGGCACACTTCGTTCGGAAGCCTTGGTTATGAGTATAATAATAAGCCCAGGTAGTATACTGCACCATTTGAAACGCCACCTACCTTCCTATATGGAAATATGTGCTCAAATACCTTAGATATATTGACAAACTGGAGTTTTATTGTCAATCATTGTCAATCAGCCACCGAACAGGGGGCCACCCAGAAAGAAACCAAGCGAATTTGACACTGAGTCTTCGAGAGACCGTTGGCAAACCTTTAAAGTTCAATCAACTGACAGACACAAGAGACTTAATCACCTGCTTTTCTGGAGGGCTTATAAAACGATAGCGATCGGCTATCATATTTTATCAAAACCGCTGAAAGGCAAAAGGAAGTGGAAACAAGCCGAGTCACAACAAAAACCCAAATTGAATCAAATTATGTGTTTAATACCCAAAATCCAGCCCGATCCAAATACGAGTTCAAATCGGAATCGTGGCTCGTGTCTCGAGGTTAGCCTTGCCCATGGCATACAAAGTTGAAAATTGATTTTGGCTTATATTTTAGGTCTCTCGTCAGGTTCAAAACTATTAGCGCCCGCATGCAAAAAAAATGAAACAAGTAGAGCCCAATAGAGCAATCAAAATTGGAACAATGTGCATGAGCGAAAAATAAATAAGCTTTTGAGAAATACAGCAGGGAACGTATTTTTTAGATAGCTCTACGATATTATAAAAAATGTATTTATATTGTAGGATATTTTATTTAAATTGAGGATCCTAAAAAATAAATCTTACAAAAAATTAAATGTATTTGCTTACCAAAATATCTTATAATTATTTTTACAATAATTTAAGATACCATTTTCTATTACTTCCATGTTAATATTATTCGGTTTTACTAGACAACTAAAGGTCTTAAAAATAAGGATCTTAATATATCCATTATATTATATAAATCTATAATATTTAATAATAAATGTATCCATATTATAAAATTGAGATGAAACGATGATATAAAAAACGTTTTACATTGCTGTAATGGTTACTAACTTTTTATAAATTTAAATCAATAATGTATTTAATATATTTTTTATTTAACTTACCATACTAATCTTTATTTATTAAGCAAATTATCATATCGTTTTAAGGATTCCTTAGTAAATTTATCAATATCTGTTTACCAAAAAACCGTATTATTATAGTTACGACACTTTAAGATACCTTTTTCTGTAAAAATCTTGTTTAAGTTTTACTGGCCAACGAAAGCTCATTAAAATGTGATTCATTGTGCACGCATAGGTCAGGCGTCATTAGCTCAGCAATGTGATTTACGACTATGTACCGCACTGTAGTTGCTGTTGTCAGCAATGTTGTTGCTGCCGTTGTCGTGCGTCGGTTTTTGACAGTTAACTCTCTACTGGTTTTGATTTTTTCGTGTACCGAACGGGGGCCACTTGAAATTTGATTTTGATCGATTTTGGCAAAGAAACAAAAACAAAAACACGGGCAATCGTTATTAAATGCGAATTTAGCCTCGGGACAGAGTTAATGTTTTAATTAGCACAACTTGGCCAATCTGAGGTCGCTTTGGGGGCGCAACAACAAGTTGCAGCATGCCACGCCCATCCAAGCATAGCGAAAGGGGGCTTGTGGGTGGGGAAATGAAAACATATAATTTGTATTATAAATATTCGCCACATCAAAGCGCATTCATTTGCTCGATTCACACAACTTGCTTGGCCGCTCATAGCTCAAACATTGGCAACGCCGACAAAAATAAGAAAACCCCAACGAACATTGAAAAACCCCCTCCCCCACTCACAGCCATTCAGCTACTGAGCTACTGTCATTGTCAGACAATCGTTAGTTAGTTCTTGAACTCGGCTTTTGAACTGAGCTCTCCAACGCCGCAGCTAATCGCGGGCCACTCGTTTCGCGTTGGGATCTTGACATGAGGAAGCCATTTGGACGCCATATAGTATTGTAATGACTGTAATTAGTCGAAACCGAAAGGTCTCTGGAGAGGCAGAAGTTTGAGTACTTACCTAAATATGGTTAATAGTTCTAATGTCCAACCGTAATATATTATACCAAACTAAAATTTCTCACCTTAACTAGGCGTTCTCGGAAATAAAAAGTTTAACTTTAACTCATTTATTTAAAAGACATACGCTAGCATACTTTTTA